AGTTTCCACCATAAGACCCACATCCAAGTGTGAATGAAGGATCAATGTAGTTGTATATTCCACCAATTCCACCTTGTGATGATGGGACGTTGTGGAGAATTCTGCACGCCTTCATTCTCAATGCGTACTGCTCTACAACCTTCAAGTCGCTTGAGTGAATTGCAGCTGAATGTCCAAGACCGCCAAACTCAAGCATAGCCTCGGCTTTGTCAAATCCATCGGCTGTGTTTTCGGCCTTCAAAATGGCAAGAATGGGTGACAACTTCTCCTTTGTGAGGGGCTCTTTCACACCAACTTCTTTGCACTCAGCACAGATAATTGATGTCTCATCGGGAATTGTAAATCCAGCGTTCTCAGCAAACCACTTTGGTGACATTCCAGGACATTTTGGGTTGAGTCTAGCATTGGCAGAGTCTGTAGAATACCCATTGACACCAAACATGAACTTCTCGAGTTTTGCCTTCTCTTCATCATTCACAAAGTAAGCGTGGAGTCTCTTGAATTCGGCAACAGCATCGCCATAGATTTCCTTGTCGATGATGGCGGCTTGTTCTGAAGCGCAGATCATTCCATTATCAAATGACTTTGAAAGGACGACATCATTGATGGCTTGTTTCAAATTGCACGACTTCTCAATGTATGATGGGACATTTCCAGGTCCAACTCCAAGGGCTGGCTTTCCAGACGAATAAGCGGCCTTCACCATTGCTCCTCCACCAGTTGCAAGAATAGTAGCAATACCAGCATGATTCATCAATTTGTTAGACGCTTCAATACCACCAAACTCGATCCACTGAATGCAGTTCTTTGGTGCACCCGCCTCAATGGCAGCATCTCTGACAATAGTAGCTGCTGCAATAGAGCATTTCAAAGCAGATGGATGGAATGAGAAAATGATTGGGTTTCTTGTCTTAATTGATATAAGTGACTTGAAGATGGCAGTTGATGTTGGGTTGGTGACTGGAGTGACTCCACAGATCACACCGACTGGTTCTGCTATTTCAGTGATGCCATATAATGGGTCTTCATGAACAATACCAACAGTCTTTGCATGTCTCATCTCGTGTGTGACGTGTTCACAGGCAAAGATGTTCTTTGTTGCTTTGTCTTCCATCACACCTCTTCCTGTCTCGTCGACTGCCAACTGTGCCAAGTAACAATGTCTGTCAAGTGCAGCAACAGACGCCTTCTTGACTATGAAGTCGATCTTCTCTTGTGTGAATTCGGGTTGCAAATACTCTTTGAGCGCAACTTGTGCATTAGCAACTAATGTGTTGATGTGTTCATCTACAGACATTTGAGTCATGAATTTCTATGAATAACGAAGTTGTGAACTGTTTAAATACGGAGCTGGCATCTAATTTTTGTTCGAAGAAAGAATTTTGTCGAATTTCGTTAGACGATGTAAACTGTCGAGAGTAAAACATTTCTGTTATAAAAATGGTTCTGTTTATATTTAATTCTATTTGCCGGTTTTTACGTCTTCTTTTGTTTTATTGTTGAATTACTGGTAAAAAAAAACTTGGGGTTATCAACCCTGTTACGACTTGAAATGATTTTCTCAAAAAGCAAAAGATGTTTCTTTGGAAATGAAGTAAGCCACGTGTTTTCTATAAATAAAACAAATTGAAATGATTAAAAAATTAAAAAGATTAAAAATTTAAATACTAAATAAGTGGGAAAACATTGAGTTATTTGAAATGTAATCGAAGACTATAATTGCCGAGGCGAAATGTTGCCTTTTCTTATTTTTTTAGTGGTTATCTTTTAATGAAGGAAATCTTATTAATTAGAATGTTGAGTTGTTTTATTACATTTTTTATAATAAATATTATAATTCTATTTATTTAGAATTAGAATTTATATTAGTAATCATATATATTGGTATTTTCATTAAAAAAATATATATATTACTATTATCTATAACATAATTTACTATTTAATAATAATAATTTTTAATCTTTGAAAAAATCTATTTATTTTTGATATATAAAAAATTAAGTTTTCTAACAACTTTTCAAAAAAGTATTTTCAAAAATAAAATTAACTATTTTGAATAATTTATAAAATAATATAAATTAACAATAATTTTTTTAGATGGCTATAAAATGTAATAAAGTGCCCGAAAAACTTTTAAATAAGTTCTGATTTAGGGTCTTTGTTAATAAATCCCGTTTTTATAAGAATTGAAATTGTAATATAAACAACAAATTTACAATCTGATATTTATTGTTTCATTGGCCACGCTGAGTGTAATTTCATTTTAATTTACATGTTTTCAATAAGTGTTTCTGTAATATTTTTCAATATTTTAAAAATATAATAATAATAATAATTGTGTTGTGGTATTTAATTATTTTAATTATTAATGATTACATGTTCAACAAAAAAAAAACAAAAACATTTGTTTTTATGAACTATTTAAAGTAATAAATATTTTAATAATATATAAATGAATTATTATCAATAATATATAACAAATTAAATATATAGTCACCCGCTAAAAGCAATGAAAACACGACAAATGGTGTAAAGAAACTATAATTTATTATTTTATACTATAATTATAAAAAACATTAAGAATAACATAAATAACATGAAAAAGTCAAAAAAATAAGAAAAAATTAATCATTTTTTGTCAAGTTTTTTGAATGGTTTAGAAGACAACGGCAATCTTAAAATTGTGGTTTCTTTTTTCCTTATCTTATTTTGGGTTTTTAATGCTTTTTTTACTTCCCTTTCTTTTCTTTTAACTTCAATTTGGAAAGGGAGTAATACTGTCTTTCTTTTCTTTTGAAGCAACGGAATTGGTTTTGGAATAAACTGTTTGAACAATTCTCTGTATTGGGGCGTTTTTATAAATTTACAATGTTCGATGGATACACGACACTTTGGAAGCGTTTTGTCAATCCAGTTGACTATTCCTGCTTGTTTAAAAGCAATAATATTAAAAGGAGGTGTTGTAACCGCAAAGAAAGAATCCACCAATATCATCAACTCTCTTAGTCTGTTTCCGAGTTCAATATTGTAAAAATCTGGTTTTTTATCTTCCCAAAATAAATTACCATCCACATCTTCCTTTTCGACTTCTTCTTGAAAAAGCAAATTTACAAAACTGTCGTTCGCTTTTAAAGAAGACATTCTTCTTTTAAGCCTACCAAATATCCCCAAATCAAGAACTTGAAGGAAATGAGAAGCATGTGGAGTTAATCTAACAAGAGTTATGTTATTTTCAGCGAGTAACAATTCAATAATCGAGGAACTGTGGCTTTTTGCATTATCCCACACTAAACAAGCTCTAAGATCGGACATTTTTATTTCAATTCCAAGCGCATTCATTTCATTTTTAATTTCAACACGTTTTCTATTAATATAATCAAGCAGAACAGTTCTAATCCAGTCTTCACAAATTTCACGCGTAATGAATCCAGACACACTGTATCGGAATAAAACATTATTTTCCGTTAGTCCATTACACCTATATTCATTTGGAATGGAACAAACGGGCAAAATAACAGTTGGTTTCAGAGTTGAACCATCAGCAGCAACTGCGGCAATTAAAGTGCAATGTCGTTCATCCCTCTCTTGTCGACAATACACAAATTTCATTTCATAATTCATTGGAACAAAACAGTGTCCATCCTTAGAATCTGCTCTTGGACTGTAACCCATTTCATCCATGTTAACAACAAGACCAGAAAAACAATTATCTACACTATTTTGGAGAGTCAAAAAGTAATTTAACACATCAATGGGATTTACATCGAATCGTTTTTCTGCAAGTTGTTTGCACGTTACAAGTTTTAACCCCATGTCTTTCTGCCCAACGAATTGAAGATTCTTTTGTGGTATTCAAGTTGCATTCATCAACAAAAAGACTCCAAACATAATCTGTTGTTACTGCTTTGTTTTTTAGTAATCTTCTGGATATTTTAGAACAAAGTATATCAGATTGTTTAAAAGAAATGTTATATTTACTTTTAGATTCATTACATGTATAACACGCTTCTTCTTCTTGTTTAATAACAGCGGAAATTCTTGGCTCATTCACTTTGAAAATTTTTGCCAGATCTTTTTGAATTATTTTCAGTCTCAGAAAACCATCCAAAACATTGATATTGTAGTATGGGTTGATAACACTTATAAACACTTTTGCGGATTCCAAACTTTCCATATTTTTATTGAACACCTTAATATTTTTATAAGCAATATAAATTTGTAACCGTTTATATTGACTGTAGCAAAATTCTTTTTGTTTTAACAGAAACAGCACAAACAAATAACACAATGAATCTGATACATCCAAAGAATTTGCCGAATCGTCGAAAGCCATCGCAGGTGCAGGTTTGGTCTTTTTGTTTTCTGGTATTGTCCAGGTAAGTGTATTTGTACTGCATTTTTCCATTAATAATTGATTTTCAGTTCACCTTTAATCTATTTTGACAATGTTTTAGAATAAAGTAAATTTATAGTTAATTTTGAAATACTTTCAATATAAAGAAAAAAATGACAAATTGAAACATAATCTAAAATCATAATTTCTAAAAACTATAAAATGGTTTCTTTAGACCATTTGTCGTAAATTTACACCTTTTAGCGGGTGACTATATTAAAAAAACTAATTTACTTTTACTTATTAAGTAAAAAAACTATAAATTAAAACATTAAGAATTATTAGTATTGAATAGTTTGTAAATTAAAAAATATTAATTACTTCAATTAATTTTTTTATTAAGAAAAATATATTGATCAATATCAAATCATATTTATTGACTCAACAACAACTAATTATTTCATCTCAAGCACAAAACTATACAATAATAAGAATAATAATAAAATTAACAACTTATTTTGATATTTTATTATCCTTTTTCTTTACAATAAAAGTATTCAATTAAATTTTAAAATATTCCAACAAACAAGGTCGTTCATTTTTTAATTATTGAAAAACTTTTCGACGAAAGGACTTGTAAGGTATTTAAATAAATCAATTTAAAAAATTAATAAGCGTCATGTAACCACCACGAAAAAAGCATTACAACAGCGATGAATAGAGCGCAACACTCAAGACCGAATACATTTTGTCCGATTTTGTACCATTTGTGGATGAAAGGGTTTTCGGAATTTTTGTATCTGTTGGATGTATAGAGGAAAAGTGGTGGGAAGAAAAAGCCACAGACAAACCATGTTATAACAACGTTATTTGATTCTTCGCTTTCTATATAGTCATACCCATCTTCCACATTTGGTTCTAAATGAAGTCCGTTTTGCATGTCTTGCATCTCGACGTTAATTGGACTTTCAGTCATATTTTAAGTTTTCTAAGTTCAAAAAAATGGAGTACATTTTTATAGTAGTTTTTTGGTTATAAATTTTTGTTGTTGTTTTTTTGATTAAATTTTTTGTTGGAAAAAAAACGTTTTTTTTTGTTTCTTTTTGAATGCCAATTTTTTGTATCTTTTGTGAAGAGTAAAAAAATGTCATCTTTTCGTACTTTTGAAAAATGAATAAAAATTACTTATGTAAATTACTATAATATATTTCTAATATTTTTTACTATTCGTAATAATTTCTCGATTCTCATAATACTTCATTATTACTCTAATATCTCAAGTCATCAGATTGTATTAATCTGAATAAATATCAAATAACCCAAACGCTATGAAATGATAAGATTATTTGAAATGGTATTGTTTCACTGTCATTGTGATTTTAGCCACGTCGATCTTTTCCTTTGTGATTTGACTTAGTTTTTCAATTGCTTTCACTCGTTCTGCATCGAAAATCTTTTCTTCCGCTCCTCCAAACTTTTTCCTTTCTTCATTTTCTTGCGTAATAAAAGTTTCAATCTGATATTTCACAAAGAACTTCGCGCATTCATCTGCCGTCTCTTCCAAATTCATTCCTTTCGATAGAACTCTCACAACTCTCTCATCCAATCTTCCAAAATTCATTTGACTCAGTTCCAAAATCGCTTCAATGGAGACATTCGATGTATCGCTCTCGCCCATTGCTTCAAGTATGTTCACTATTTCTTGGCCTGAAAACTCGTTACATCCCCCCATCACACTTCCGCTGAAATTCCGACGACTTCTCTTCATCCCAAAGTCGATGAGTTCGCAAATGACTCCGCGCAGTCCCGAGCAATTTAAAGTCATTTGGAGCACTCTTTCGCACAACTTTGTATTCCCGGCAGCTCGCGATAACGTGTCGATACTTATCGATTGGACATTAACAAGTGAATACAACGCAGAGAAGATCGAGAGATCAGGAAGAGATATGATAGCCTCAGAAACACTTTTTAATTGACTCGTCGCTACAAGCGACACGACGTTTCTGACTATCGACGCCTCTCCCATCAGCAATCCTCGTATAAGTAGACTCGACACATTCTTCTCGACACATTGGTCACTTCCACCAATCAACGAATACACCAACGAACATCTTTCAGACACTTCCGTTGGTCCATTCTTCGCTACAGAAACTAACTCTTCTTCAAATTCAACAAAGAGAGAATAAGAGTTAAGTAGGCTTCTAACACCAAGATACCCTTCTTTCTTAAAGTACAAGTCCGGTTCGATTTGTGGCATAACAACACTTAAAACACGTCGAGCACTGGACTCGTAATTCGAAGCAACACATGTTGGACTATAATAAATCAGTGTGATCAATAGAATGCGCGTCAAGTCTTTCTTCACACTCAACGGCATCAACGAGATGATGTACGACATAATTACAAAATACATGTTCTCTTCTTTACTCGGCTCTTTCTTGATCTCTTCGATATGAATGATATCGACTAACCCAAATTGAACTTTACGGAATATCAACGCTCGCATGGAAGACACTGAACACAATTGACTCAGTATCTTCGACGCTATTAAAGTGCTCTGTTCACTCAATCCTCCTCTCTTAATGACAAGTTCAATCAACGCATCTCCAGAGGTCGAACACTTCTCTCCAATTGCCCGCCATGTATCAAGAAACTCACTGTCTAATTGCTGTGCAAAAAATGCCATATCAATAACACTCGTAATAACACTCTCAAAGTCGATTTCAATCCCATTTAAGATCCATTGCCTACAACAGCGCAAGAGCGTGGAATACTCAGATGTACTCAAATAGGTGTGATACTGTAACACTCCTTTCAGAACAAGTGAACTCTCCTTTTTATATCGATTTGCCATCGCCTCACTGACAATATATTCCCACGAACTCCACGCCGGAAACCCACTAAACAAGTCGATTCCAAAACTTTGGACTCCCTTCATGAGTGCTGAAAAGTTCAACGAGCTCTTTGCTGCAAGTACAACGGAGAAACTCAAAATCTGTTCAATGGGGAGTTTCTGGGAGTTATTTGTGATGATGGTATAGACACTATAGAAGTACATCTCACGCACTTCACGGGAAACAAAACATCGTTGCATCGACGAGGTGAGCATGTCTGGGTATCTCTTTAAGAGTTCGACAAGGAGTTTGTTGCATTGTGAAGGATCTGATGCATAGAGTGCTTCCAAGAGATTGAACACCGTGACTGGGGAAGACAGTGTTGCCTTACTAGCAATTGCCTTCATGATCTCTATGATATTCTTATGCAGCGATGGTTGGTTGATGTACTTCCCCACAAACGTACAAAGTCCGTCTGGGACAAGGGGGGTGCTTAGAGTCATTTCCAGTGTATAGATCTTTGCCGAGATCTCCATCAACACAACTTGTGAATTTGGGATGTCTTTAAAAGCAATCCAGTTACTCATAACTGCTCGACACAATGCTATCACATGTGGCATCCCTTCATATTTCTTTGGTGTGACATTAACGATCGTCGCAAGAAGATCAAAATTGAGCTTCTTCTTTTTCTCCATCATGTACTGCGCAAACATGTCGATGACCTTTTCATTCGTTTTTGATAAGAGTGTTGTGACCATTTGCGTAATAAACGGCACACCATCAAAGTATTGTGAGATCACATTTTGGACTAACACGGGATGGTCTCCTTTAGTACTGAGAAATAAGAACTTAACAATTTCATTTGGACTCTTTATAGTATACGTACTTAATAATTTACTATACAACTCCCGCACAAAGGTTTCCTCGCAATGTTGAAGAACGAAGTGGTCTAATATGTCACTCGACAAACGACTTAACGAGTCCCCGATCAATTGCGCCTCTTTCACATTCGAATACCCTTTTAATGTTAACGTGTCTTTGATCTTCCCAGCAACAGAAACGGAGTCTTCGCTCATCGTTAAAAGAAGTCGAAGAATACGACGATTCAACATATTCGCTATTTCTCGACTCCCAACTTCACTCGTCTTCCCAAACAACTCCGACACCTTCGCAATGTACTCCCCGTCGACTAAGTCACTCTCGTCCTCCGCGGAGTTCCGCAAAAACTCCTCAAATATCCCACAGAAGAGCCGCGGGTTTTTAATCGCGTCGCGCTCTAATGCTCTTCTTGCGGACATCTTTATCTCCAAAATAGGACTTCGCGACGCGTCAACCAATTTATGGGACACCGAGTCTCTTGTCGTTGCGTCATGTGAATATGAGTCGGGGTACATCTCAATCACCCACAAATTAGTTGGGTCCATCACCGTCCCAACAAGACTTGGTGTTTGGCTTAAGAACTCGGAAATTCCGGCCTGTGCGTCTGCCGGAAGGACCAACGTTAGAGGTACATTTTTGACTGCCATTGCTCTAATGTCTGTTGGAATATTCAGTTTTCCTGACAAGATGTCGAGCATTACTTGTTGTGTATACACCACGTTATGAGTAAAGACTTGTTCGAAGTATTGCGTTTCGAGTGTTGAAGCAAATTTGAGGTGTTGGTATTCCTTTTTTGTCATCAGAGTCTTATTGAAGAAGTCATTTAAGAGTTGTGGGATAGCTTGGTGGGTTAGTGGTAAGACGTCTAAGACTCCATTGATATATTCTGCTATCACTTCAAGTGCTTTAATTCTCTTCTGTTGGTCTTTTTGATTCAGAAGGAGAGTGTAGTTCTGTGTTAACGCAGGGATAACCGAGATCGAGAAGAGTCCATCCGTCTGTGCTCCTAAGTGTCCACATGTTACATTAATATTGACTTTAGTACTCTTCCAATGGCGCATCAAGTCAATCAGTTTGCCATAGATCTGTTCAAGTTGTCCTAAAATGATCCCTCCCGTACTATTTCCTCTCCCAAGTCCTTCTTGACACACGCCATCTAATAATCGACATACAGAGCGTTTCATGACACTGCGTTGAGTTGTTTCTAAGAGATTGAATACTCCATTCATGAATCGAAGGGATTCAGAAGATGTGATTCCTTCTGTTGGTAATAAGATATGGTAGTAACACTCAATGACACTCGCAACTTCTCGTGTTTCGGTGTCACTTTTGACCCCATTCACTGTCTTCAGAAATAAGTCGACGACATTCTTTAAATAGTACTTACTCGCTCTTTCATTAACAGCGCAGATGCCTTCCGATTGGTTCTCCA